CCTCGCCGGCCGCCCCGCTCCCCATGGCGGGCGGGCACCTTTCCCGAGCCTGCACTGCTACCTAGAGGGCAGAGGCCGCAGCGGGCAGCGAGCAGCAGCTCGGGCTGCAGGAGCCAGGGGACAAGCAGAGGCTGCGCTCGACGTACGACCACGTTATCGGGAAAGCAGGGGGAGCCGATACAAAGAGCCCTCTGCCTCGTTACCATTTCCTCGTTACCACTCGTTACCATTTCCTCCTGCAGTCAGGGGCTAGGGCCTGTTTGCACAGAAAAAGGGAAGGCTGCAGGTGCTTCGTGCAGGGATTGAGCACAGCAGGCAGCATTTCACATCCATCAGTTTGAGACATTATCTGATGGAGAAGGGTTTGCAGACAGACCCAAGCGACAGAAAGGAAAATCCATTAGAAATGGGGTAAAGATGAAACCTCCAGGAAACCAGATGAAATCCCTGCTTTCCTGAAGCAACTAGTGCTGTTTYGAAGTGCAGTTATTAAAAATGTTCATGCAAACTGATTTTGAGTGCTTTCTGAGCACAGGCACAAGAGACCCACACTATCATCCAGAGCTTTTCTTGGCTTTTGAGAAGACCAAGTTATTGATGAAGAATGCAAAAAAACCTTATCATCAAGAAATACTCAGTTTATAGCAGTTTGCCTAGAAGCTATATAAAAAACCCACAATGGAAAGAATAGAAAATACCATGCCTTAAAAGTCCTAAGAAATTTGTAAATCCAGACCTTACACTGACCTTCAACACAGAAAAGAAACACGCTGCATCTCTGTGCATCATTCTCCAAACATTTGGAGTTTCACTGGCAAATTCTCCATGTCTGGAAAGATTTCTCATTATGCACTTGCACAGTTATTAACACCACAGGCCTCATCTCTGATGAGCCACTTGGATATCATTTACGCTGCAGACTCCAAGCAGCCTGTGCAGCATTTAAGAGAAACAGTTCTATCAGTGAAAGACTGGCACCCCTATAAACTTCAGATGAGGTCTTAAAAGTATATTTGGGAAGCTTTAACAGAACCGAGGGGAACATGCTTAAATTCAGATATAAATATATATTATATATAACACTATATCAACACAACCTTATCTGCATTTCCACATTCAATTTTACCTTCTTTGAAGCTTCAAAGTAAGATTTTTCATATCTTTTTATAGCATAAAAGGAAAAGAGTAACAAGAACCTACGTAGCAACAATATACAATTTACAATTTCTAGATTATAAATTGCAGCCATTTATATAATAGTCATGGAATAATTCAAAAGCCAGTATCTATATATTCAATGCTTGGTCCTGAGCATTATAAAAATTCAAAATCCTCTGCATCCTCCATAAATCTTTACTGCAGGTGCATCTGGAGTAATAGCAAACAAACAAAACTCCCGGATACGAATTGCAGAAAAATCCCTGCTACAGTCCAGTATCTTGTGACAGAACAGTCCTTTTGTAATCTGTCTACTTGAACCATCACTATTATCTAAGAAGACAGGAATGCTAATTGGAAGGACTACAAGTTTTATCTTATTAAAAACACTTCTAAATTGCTGTAAAAAATATAATGCTGGTAATGCTGGTAAAATAGCACAGCACTTTACATCAGCTTGTGTGCCATGTTTCTAAAACACTTCTAGAAGTCAAGTATACTGCATTTGGTCCTCAGACAAATTTATCTCCCATTTGAGAGGGAAAGTACACAAGTGATCTATCACAGCTACACAAGGAATGCGAGTTCTTAAATCTTSACTACGATCTCTCCTCTCCAAAGAACCAGGTGCAGCATTTCTTGCATACTTGTACAGCAGCTAAGAAAAACACTRTTGCCATCTGAAGGATTTCCACAACCTACCTCCCCCACTGCAAACTAGTTTTGGAAGTCATTTATGAAGCTRCCTTAAAGCTGGTTATTCCACTTCAGCACTTCCACGTGCCAGTATTACATAATAGCATCTGAATACTGATAGCTGTATTGCAAGGAACACGTAGATGCGCTTCAGAAGCGCCACAGGCAAGTCTGATACTGCAGTATCACAGCTAGCTTCAAGATAAGAGTAAAATTTCAAGGGTTATTTCAAGTTTGAGATCTGTTTTATGCGATATTTTGACACCATCTCCAAGCCAAGCTGTACAGATCGAGTGCCAGACTTGGCTCCAGTTTCATTCTCTCTTCTTACATAGAGCATGAGCTGTATTTAAGCCTCTGATCATGCACAGGGGATAATACTTGGTTGGTTGAGCAGCTAATGGCTAGAGATAAATATGGATGCTGGCTGCTGTCGTGGTAAGTAACTACATGGTCTTCAAACAAGACTCTCTTGCCAAATAGTTTTTCCTTCAGTATCTTTCTTCCCAGCAGTTTTACTGTAGTTTTAGCTTTTTGTCACCTCCTATAGTTGCACTGGCAGCTATGGAAAGTCCTGAACCATTCAAATGAAATCAAAAATCATAAAGATATAGTTACAGAAAAAGTCATCGTGATGGCTCCAGGAAGCAGCAGACCCCCCAAAAGCTTTTATCTTTTAAGCATATCAGATAAACAATRGGACCAAATGAAACTTATCTTTAGTTGCTAAGTGATTGTTCACTAACACCACCAAAGCATAGGGCTGAAAACATTTATAAGACTGAGTTCAAATTCACTTTAAAACTATAGAGTCACCACAACATAATAAATAYTTACAGTAATGATGAAAACCTCCAAGTCCCCAGCAGTGCTTGACAAAAGTGACAGAATAAAGAACCATCTCCCGAGTTTCAGGGCCTAGACTCTCCTATGAGCAGTTTTCAAGCAGGTGACAYGAGACACTGATTATTTGCAAATACTGTGGAGATGAGACCAACACAGGCCTGGGGACAGTGTTCTTCTGAACCCCTGCAGACCTCATCTATGGAGGCCTGGTCCAAAGAAGGGAGCACAGGATGCAAACATTTCAGACAGCTACAAAATACGAGTCTATTTAGATCCCCAAATTAAAATTGTAAGATGTCTACTTCCACACTCCAGAAGCAGCAGGGAATCTATTTTTCCCCTCATTTTGACTTACCTGTCAAATTAATTGAGAAAAAAAAGTTACTTCTATATCCATTTATTATTCCAGTTTGTAAAAATATAAGACTAATATACAACTACAGCTAGCTTGATTTCATAAAATCAATCTTCATTCAGTGAGATAACAATGTACATCATACATTAAAGTTGTAAGAAAAATACTGATATTTGACATTTTAAACAGGTTCATTCATGTAAAAATCACATTGCAAGTAAAATTTAATTAGAAAATACATAATATTCACAAAAATACACATATGTTAAAGACAGCTTGTGAGAACATTGTCCTAAATTTATTTCAACTGTGGAAAAAACTTATGATTCACAGTTAGGCTTGACTTATCCAGTACTGCAGCAGAACTTGAAAGTAATGGTATCTTATTTCCATTAAGAATTTGCTCTTTTCTTTTCCTATTAAGGTGCACTTAAAAGGTTCATCTGTCTTCAGTCTCCCAGACACAAGTAAGGAACCACTTGTTCCCTACTGTTCACGTACACAACTGCATAATACTATTCACAGGAATTTTAGTTTTTCATTCTATTTTGAAATAATTTGGATATTTATAAGTTAATTTATAAAATCTGGACTGAAAATACAATTTACACATATTAGAATACTTAATACACAGAGTACACTGATAGCAGCTTAATATTATCAATCATGCACAGTAACCTTGCAATCACTTTTAGATTTTATAGCTAAAAATAAAGTCTATATAAAACAGTCAAGCCTTTAAGTATTTTCTTCCAAGGAGAAAAATCATAGAGATGTTAAAAATTTAGGAGGTAGTGAATGAAAGGCTAACAATATCAGCATAATATTTTTAAAATCTTATACTGAACCCCAGTACCACTTACATAAAAAATTAGCCATTCATCATCTATGGTTGATTATCCTGAAATAATGATTTAAAATATTTAGTAATTAACAGTGTATGCATTCRGAAGATATGGAAGAACTTCAGAAACTTATGGTAACTGCAGCAATAAGCAATTACATGCTGTGCAGTCTGTCACTCTAACTGTAAATATAGCCTTTATAAAACCTACTTAGATTTAGTCCATGATGTTATTTCATCAAGTCTCAAATGCTTAGTTCTACTATATTTGTCATCAAATTTCTGCAAAACAGAATATTGTATTTGCCAAAAACAATATTCTCACACATTGAAGATCATCAAGTTTGGAGGAAAGGTCCTAAGAGATGGAGTCTCGTGCACTTTTAAGCAGGACCCTAATTATTTTTAAACTCTTTAGTACCAGTGTGTGTGTGAATATATATATWTTTTTTTCTCAAAATAATCATGCATCTGTTAAAGATACAAATTAGGTACCGCAAGAGGGTTTGGCAGCACTAACCCTGGGTGTTTGTACATGAGCAATAAATTATTGTGTAACATTAGCATTCTCAGACTCGACCTTCCTGTGCGAGTTAATAGCTCAACCAGCATCCAAGCAATGCACATACTAATGTACCACGTTAGAGCCATTTCAGTAGATGCCAATTAGTATTTCCAGCTAAAGAAAACATTCTGCCTTCACTGCGTGCACTGCCACTTTGTCTTCTGCATCTCTGGCTCTCATTCTCTGCYTATCCAAGTGCCTTTATTACTTTGATTATTCCCAATACATTCAAGTAAACAGAAGGCACAGAAGTGCAAACTAGCCTAATATATCAAAGTTGCCCTCCGCTGATGATTTCATACAGGAAGGAAAGTCCTTTGATAAAGGGAAAAAAGATATTTAAGAGTAAACATTCTTCCTTGAGTAATGGAAGTGTTAGAGCAGCACTCACAGAAAATATATTTAAATTTTATGTTGCAGAACATATAAACCATATCCATTTTCCTCTTTTCATATCAAATGAATATTTCAAGTTAAAGATTATTATCAAACTAAGTCTAAAACTTTACAATATTTGCTCATGTTAAAAAAAATTCAGGGTCTATTGTACATAATCTGATAACGCCACTAACAAAATGGACTAAGTAGAACTCTAATCTGTTTTCCATTGTTTTCATTTCCATAATGAAAAATATTCCATTATCCATTATGCTAGTTCTCCATAAATCAGAAAAGGCATTAATCTGATAGAAGACAGCCTTTCTTGGAAGTCTGCAGCACTCAAAATTCGGTATTACTGACAGCTTGGGGGGAAAAAAAAGCTATTCATAAAGTATTATGAACTTAAAACCTGCATTTATCAGAATTAAACTAAGAATAACTTGGTCTGCATCAGTTCTAACCTCCAGYGTGCTATAGGAGGTTTTATAAATGCTTAGCGTTACACATACAGTTAGTCTTACATTAAGAAAGTTAACAGAGGTAGATGCTTTCCCGAGACAGACTGAGGTGAGGGGGAGAAAGGGGTTTCTGTCTCCCTCCATTCCACCCTCCACCCCAGAGGAACACAGACTATTGCCTCTGGGCACAGCACAGGCTGCTGCATCCTCCCTGCCCATCGGAGCTGACTTGGGCTGCAGGATCCTTGCTCAGACACTTCACCCATGTTTCTCCCCAGCCCTTTCAGTTCGAATCTTCCATTTCCCAGCCCCAGCTTGGGCCACAGCAGCGAGACAGGACTGAGAGGGAAAGAATGTCCCAAGCCTCCCCTGCAGCTCTCCATGCAAGTCTGCAGCACATTACACACCTGCATTTCAGTATCAGGATTTTGTCAGCAGTGTATTATTTTCCAGTGTAGTAACTCTGTAATATCAGAATACCCAGCCAGTGGTGCACAGCAAGGTGAGCATGTACAATTAGGTCACTATAATGAATAATGTTAATGCCACACAGGCTCAAGCTGCTCTAACCTGTTCGGGTCTTAAGTCATCTTTTCATATAATTTTCACTCTCTCAAACAAACTTAACAGCTTCTGTGAGGACTGTGGCATAGTCACATGGTATATCCCATGTGTGTTATTTCCATAGTATTAAGTTTACCTTTAATTTCTTTAAAGTTTATCATTTGATTTAGTTACTAATTACAGTATCCTTAAATACTGTAAACTAAAATGAAAACAAGTCTTCAAGACACACTAGTGTTAAGACTTTCACATTTCAAATTTACAAATTATAGTGTAATTAAAAGTGAGTTTACCTGGCCATGCAAGACAGATTAGAAACATAAAGGTGAGTGACTAAGGAGCCTGGTGTTGCACATTCACTTCCAAAGGGGCAATCATCTTGAGCAGCCCCTGCTTGCAACGCAACTGCTGTCTACCTGCAGACCACTACTCTATACATGCTGGTCAGTGAATCAGTCAGAATTATCAAGGACATCTCTTCTTACGTCCCCTCCTGTCTGTTCTTCCACTTCCAGATACAGAGCCACGCAGTGCAACCAGCACAAAGACAGCAGCCCCAAACAGCAATGAGGAGGCTAAAGCAGCACTTCAGTTGAATAGGAAACCACAGTACATTAGAAAAAACAACCTCACACACAAAGGGAAATTTGCTTCTATAGAATCAATAGCATTCCACATAGACAATCAAGTACCTACAAGAGAAGCTTGTAGGTATCTACAAGCTATCTCTTAGCTATCCTTCATTTTCAATATAAAATTTTCCTCATCCAGTTCCAGTTGGTTGCCAATTTTATCTTCATGATGTATTTACATCGAAGTGCAGAATTAGCTGAAGTTAGTCAACTTACATAACTTCAAACTTCTCATCTCCATTTTTTTTTCTTTAAGTCTAATTGCAGTGCTCAGTAGGTGGAGAGGTATAAAATGTATTACATATTAAGCCAAATTAAAACATATATGGCATTCTCAGTTAATACAAAGTACACCTATGTAACTTCATAGTGTTATTATAGTTCCATCTTCCAATGATTTATGATCTGGATGCTGTTCTTCATATTCTATGCTAATGCTGCCTGCTGAATGATTCAAGTTTGTCTCGCTGGAAGGAAGGAAGCCATTCTGCGTGGACTCATGAAGAAGTTCCATTTGTGACAACGACTCCAGGCTTTCACTGGTACGGACAGCTTTTGGAATCTGCTGTGGCTCACCGCTGTCTTCAATGATAATGTCCTCTTCATCGCTCTCCTCTTCTCCTTGCAAGAAGTTTGTTACAATATTAGGTGTGCTACTTGGAAGGCTGGATTCAGTAGACTGACCAGAGCTGCCAGAAGTCCGACTGTTCCTGACCACATTGTTTCTCTGGTTTGCGGGCCTTACTGTAATGATCAGGTTACGGCTGTTGGCAATCATCATGTCTGTAACCTGATCAAGGCTCTTTCCTGAAACTTCTATCCCATTCACCTCCAGTACTTCATCATTAACAGCCAGCAAGCCTGTACTTTGAGCCAGACCTCCAGGGACAAGTCTGGATATGAAAATTCCTGGAACTTTCTCCAGTCCTTGTGGCGTTACTCTGACGCTGGAGCCATCTCGTATGTAGAATCCCAGTGGTTTGTCGGTTCCGTATTTGTAAAGTCGCACCCTACGATGGGTTTCTGGAAGAATATCTACGTCTATGATAGAAGACACAGGCCTGAAGTCTTGAGGCATGCTAATGACAATGTGGGGTTTCTTCCTGTGGTTGTCTGGACGCAACACATTCGCCAAGACATTTTTCTTCCTTGTCATAGTGTCTGTACCAAAGGCACTGTAGTCCGCATCTTCTGTAAGACAGAGCGTATTGATGATTAAATCGTGATAGCAATGCATATACATCATATATAAAGCRTTTTAGGGCAACAGATTGAAATACCTAATCTAAAAGGTTCTTAACATGCTACAGTAGAATTTTCTCTCTCTAAATATAAAACTAGCTTTCACACCAAGGGATTCAGATGAGCTTTCTATTTTTCTTCCTATCATCAAAGGAAACAATACATAAAAAAAATGGCAACAATACAAAGGCAAAGTATCCTACCTGCCCAAAAGAAGGCATTTTAGAAACACATTTTTTGGGTATCATTCTACTTGTTACCTTCTCCTCCTCCAGTTTCAGATCATTGGAATAAGGAAAAAAAAAAAGAGGGAGGAAAGCAGAGTGCCTATGACTGCCTCGCTCCTGGACACTAGCCAAGTGACCTGGATTCAAACTCCAGAAAGCTTATTCCATTCCACGCTCTCCCCCACCCCCATGCAGTGTAGGTAAAATGGCTGAGGAGGAGAAACAAAGAGCCCTTGCAYAGAGCTACTCCAGACTAAGTTATTTGTACAACGCTAAATGCTACCATTTGATTCAGAAATGTGCAAATTTCTCAGTTTTTTTTAAACTTATATATGTATCTTAAAATGGAAAGAAAAGTATTATGTAGAATACTTCAGACCCGATCACAGGAGCAATTCTGATATCTGAAATGCTCCTTAACCAAAGAAAGCTTCTGTTTTTATATTCAACATACCTCAACTCTCCATGAAGCCGATTTTAAATGAGAAACCCATTCAGATTTGACTGAAGTCCCTCAGATTTGCACTAATACTTCTGCAGTGTTATGTAAGGGTTTAGAATCAAACAGAGCTGGTTTCTAGCAACCCAGAACTCTGAAAGGTTGGGATTTTTTTGTATTGGTGTTATTAGTGTACTGCGCTGCCATTGGCACAGTCAAGAAAACACAGAAGTTTGCTTAGACACTAATCTAGAAATTAAAAAACCTATGGAAATGCTATTACAGCAGGAAAGCTAAAGAAAGTAATTGTTGATGAGAAAGTCCTCCTACAGGAGAAGACATGGATGCCTCTAGATTACTATGCCCACTCTGCAGAACAATTTCTACGCCTGCTGTTTCTTAGATACAGGCATGTTTTCATCCCGAGGGAAATTCCTGCATGAACTGCTCCGTGAATAAAGGCACAGGTTGCCTCCTACACACTGCAGTGCTGGCATTTCACATGCAATGGGGTATGTAGAGGGCACCCTAGGGATTCCTCCTCTTCTCCCAGACACCCAGTAAACTCTGCTTTCCTCTGACTTCTGAGGAAAGGGTCAAATATAAGAAAACAGTTAAAGCAAGGAGCAGTGTGAGGAAGAAGCAAACAGTAGCTAGCTACAACTGGGCATGATAAACTAGGAGTTTGAAAGTTTCTGCTCCATAAAAGCAAGGGATTTTTGTTGTTCTTCACCTAAAGAAACTTTAAAGTAATAAAAGCACTATTTTATATGCTTATTTAAATTTGAAGATAAACATAAGCAGAAGTTTCATCCTCTTGTTTCAAGTGCTCATCAAACCAGTTTCGAGTTAGATACCTGGTCACTATTTTGAGAAGATTTCTGCAACCTGAAGAATTGCAATACAATTGCTGTTCTAACTTGGAAGTGCTACTGTTTACAGGGGAACCTGGGACGAACACTTAGGAAGCAAGAGCAGACAGAAGGGCCTTCCTCTAAGCATGCCTTTACTGTTAAATAACAAGCAATGTAACACAACAGCACTCTAACAGTATAGGTAATGATTAAATAGACAGTGGTGCCTTCAATATTAGAACTCATTAGGAACATTAATGAGAGCAAAGGTGATTTAAAGCCATGGACTTCCCCTTTCCATCACCAGGATTTCACATGGATCTTTGTGATCTTGTGCAGCACTTGCCTCTATGTAGCATGAGTTTCTGACACTGCACAACTCTGCTTTTAGTGTTGCACAACACAGCAGAACTAGTGAAAAATATTCCAAGCAGCAGAGATTTTGTACGGACAAGTCACTTTGATTCAAGCATATAACTTTCTTGGTTTGTGGCAGTGTTCAAGATTTATACAAATTTAACACTACATCGATCCAGAAGAGTTGTTTGTTGGTAAATGCTCCAAAGAATCACTAAGTTGGATTTAGACTAGAGCTGTTCATACTCTTGCTAAAGATTCAAAGAACAGCTATTTTACACCTCTTCAAATTATACCAAATCTACAAATCTTCTGGTGCTCTTGCTTTAAAAAAAAAACATCACAGCTTAGCAAGTTTAGAAACATACTGTTGCAGTAAGATGGTATTCTCAAACTGTAAACTATTTATGGCAACTTTTAAGTGATCAGAAGTGTTATATTATAGTTAGCCTTACCTTAATAAATCACCATTAGAAGAAAATAAGATAAAGTAACATAAGTTCAAGGGGAAAAAAAAAATCAAAAAGTTGAGGACACAAACTCATCTCTCCATATCTCAGTCAAACAGCACGACTTTGTTTAACCTCTCCTCCACTGCTAAACAATTTTTCTAAAGCAATATTCTCGAGCACAAAGGCATCTTTGTCCTGGCACCCAGCTAATCAGTTTAAAGCTGCAGTGAAAAATATTTTGGCATTAAGCCAGAGGACAAGGTGTTAACTACAGATATGTTAAGGAGAATGTCCACATTCTCCTTCTCTTCTTTCAGCTGGTGCAGGCTCAGGACAACAGCAAACTGCATGCATGTACTAATAAGTTTAAAACAAAAGTCCACAATACCCAAATCTGGTTTCAACTCAACATTATTCAAGACAAAATATTTAAAATTGTTTTTCCGGTATATTACAAAGCAATGAAATTACYCTTCATGAATTACATTTTTAAAATCCTAGTATCATATCACTGCATTGGATGCAACTTAGCTCTTTTTTCCTTCCCCCTGCCCTCCTCTAAACATTCCAATAAGTCAAATCCATATTTAGCCACAAGTTATACTGAAATAAGGTTTTAGGAACCTAAACTAGTTCTTTAGAAAACGGACTCAACCCCTTTGGATGTTCCAGACTTGTTCAAAAAGTCAACTTTTTAAAAATATTTTTAAAGAGAGACGTTAATACTCTACAAGACTTCTTAACAGTGAAGTCTAACGTAAAAAACAGGAAATTCCAAAATTTTTTCCACTTTTTAAGATATAATGCATAAAATTTGCAAAAGCTCTTATGTTGTAATTTAATATCATGAGTTTTACAGGTATTTAAGTGAGCTATGCCTTCTGTTTATCTATTATCYATCATTATTCTTGTATTTACAAGGCAAAATTCCCCATCTGCCCTTCTCCTCCCCACACACATTATCCTTCAGTAAGAATTTTCTCACAGACAGAATGACTCCCATACATCTGGATTTAATCAGGTAGATCAGTTTAACCTTTAAATTCCAGATGTCAACAGTACCTGTTAATCTGTTAAAACTGCAGAAGGATATTCCAATAATCAACTGTTTTTCTGCAAGCTGATAGCCATCCTTGTGCAATATCAGTCTCTRGGGATTTTACATCTTGCACTGGCACATTCAGAAATATTTTAAAGGAACTTAGCTAAAATGAATGTGATTTCACAACATTAGAGTAGCTCCTGGTTTCTCTCTAAGCTTGYCAATATGCATAAACACTCAGGGATAAGACCATTTGCTAGCTTTCATAAATTAGCAGTCAAAAGTCAACAGAAAAAGCATTTACTCTGGCATGCCAAAAATCTCTTAAAGATACAGACTATATTATCTCACTTAATGCACATTAGTAACCCTGTAAAAGTTATGTCCATTGCTCCCATTACAACACTTTATAATGTTCCTTGCACGCAAAATAGTATGGATTTGGTACCATTTAACGAGAATTTTATTATAGTCTGCTCTTAGGTTGCTTTTTCATAAGCTACATGTAGCTTATAGGTAGATCTACCTTCTTCAGTGGTTTCTATTAAAATAAAAATATAACACRAAGATAATGCAGCATATAAAAGTCACAAAAAAAGCCTTGCACAAGAAAGAGTATCTTGTGGTAGCTTAGTATTAAGGTTCCAAAACATCAAGGATGACCATAACCCTGTCAATAGCAGGTATTTATTCAAACTTTTGTTTTAATTGTATAGATAGACAACATCTTATCTATAGATGTTTAATTGTACAGATAGACAATAAAAAAAGTCACATTGTCTGAAGAGTTGTACCTATAGAGAAACAAATTTTGACATTGCATACTGTAATTCAGCCCTACTTATGGCCAAATTACCAACTGCAAGTACAAGAATATATATATCTTCTATAAAACCAWTCCTGTTGTGTGGCAAGGATGCCAAGAGAACCGAAGCCTCAATTTAACTGACAGAATTTTATGTTTAGATTGAAGGTTAAAACAAASCTCAGAATATTGGAGTGGTCACAACTGATTCAGTATAAAGTACAGTGTCCTCAGATTTTAACACACAAACCTGGGTTCTTTTTTCTCTAACATGCTATAGCTAGAAGAAACCASAGTGACAGAGAGAAAACAAGGAAAAAGCTATTTTCTACAAAGCTTTTCTTGCTCATCAGTTCTTGGCATGCTGAACAAAAGCGGTTTTATTTTAGTTTTGCACATYGTATCAATTCTCTTCTCAATGTCTCATGCCAATAGTGTCACAGTAAATAATCTATTTTCCTCTTTAAAAAATAGCAAATTGGCATAAGATTTTACATCTATCTCTCTMTATATATAGGCAGTAACAAAGGATAGACATATGGTGTCAAAACGTTGCCTTAATAATCCCAGTCTGACAAGTGGTTTATCTGTTCTTGTCATATGGCTACTGAAGGAGATTAAATGGCATTTTTTACYTGTAGATTCCATTAAAGTAAATAACTCATCTCCTTGGCAATTCAGAACCATACAGACCGTACCATATTATCCTCAACATACACATTTTGCCTGCAACACAGCACCTGACGACCAGTCATATGGGCTATTTTAAAATATTGTCTTTGTGTAAAATCATTGTGGAGATTATTTTGAGCGCRAATTCAAAGCCTTTCCCCACTTACATAGTTCTCTCTAAAGCAGCTATTTAATGAAGATGTGCACTACGCCCTAGGCAATGTTTTTAAAGGCAGTTGGCTGACTTATTGTGATACTGATGTATGTGCACATAGCCACACATGTATGTTTATGTCTATACACAGGCAAACTGAAAAAAAAACAGCAAGAAGTTAGATTTTCTTGGGATCTCTAAAGTAAAACAGTTTCAAGTAATTACACTACATTTCCCCMCTCACACACTTCCATATACAAACACCATCTCCTGGACCAAAACAAATCGCTTTTTTCTCCATGAACAAAACCAGACACTAGAAAGAGACAAACAGAATTGTGCCTAGAAGATGCTATAAGGGCAAATTGACACACTGAACAGCACATATTTGAATTTGCCAATACAAATAACCTTGTCTTCAAAAGCCTCAGAGTGTTTTGTCAGAAAAAAATGCATTGAGCATAACATATCACAAAGTTGGTCTTAAATTTATGCTGATATTTAATACTTTACATAAGATTGAAATGAATAAGTCTTATGTTCTCTCCTCCTGACCAAACAAGATTTGAATTATGTGAAACCTATACCTAACAGGCAAAAAAAAGAAATATTCATTTACTAATATAAAACAAGAAATGGGTGTTACTAGAGATTTGACTCCATTTTGTCCAACTGAACTAAAAACATAARCAGAAAGCACACAGTATAAATAGGCTGCTTGAGGAAGCTGTTGCAAGCTGTGAATACGTTATTAACCATAATTACTGTGGAATTCAACATGGTGAAATAGGACCGAAGGTTTCTTTTCCTCCGCAAGTCACACTGTTTACTGCAGCAAGTCACAGCTGCCTAAACAAATAGTTCACCTAATGCAAGTGCACTTACCTTTTCTTTGAATGAAAATCCTGAGTAGAGGATTGGCTGTAGAAACTGCTTTATGGTAATTGTCATCATTATTGATAGGCAGCAGGTCTCCATGAATGTCCGTATATCCCACTAAGACATCAACATTTGGTATCTTGTGCACATGCTGCAGTAATCCATAGAACTCCTCAAACTTTCCAGGTTTTGATCTTTCCAGAGAAAATCGTCGAAATTCTGCTCCAAACTACAACAAAAATACATCTTTATTATGCTCAAACAATAGGATGATTTGATGCAACATCAGAAATGTTACAGAACCGAAAATACACTAAAAAACATAACCCATAATTTGGTAAGGGCTTTTATGCTGCTAAGATGTCTATTTTTCAAAGTTTTTACTCTACATTTGGTCTTCATGAGTGTGCTGTGAGAATGCGTGCAGATCTTGCTTGCAGATTGCTTTTAGYGTTCTGTTTAAGTAAAAACATTTGCTCATATGGTAATGTCTAATATGGTAAAACAGTAGCATAAAGTACTGTTGATTCTCCTGTTCTTATGTTGCAGCAGCCACGCTCTGGATATAGGACACAGTTCACACCCACCATTGACACTGGTTGCTCAAAGGCAAGCACATGCGCTTCCTAGGGTATGCGACTACCTTAATTTTTTTCCAAAGAAGTTCCAGAGCACTTTAGAAAAATCACATAATAGATGCACTATGCTTTCTAGCATTTGAAAACCCATAGTTTTTCAGGCCAGAAAGAAAAAGTAAGTTTCATCTGAAGAATAGAAACAATCACTGCAGACTTTCAATACAAACTTTAGTGAGCTAGACAGACATTTAAATTGTATCCTCCCAAGCCTCAAGTTACTTCTGCTCTTATCCAAAGAGAAAAATACAGGAGGCAATCAGCAACAAGTCTTCAAAAGTATTCAAATATTTGTCTGTACCATTAATGCTCAAAACTCCAGGGAATAATCATTTACAAAGAGATTGTATCCAAGGCATAAAAACACAAACAGTTTGGAAAATATACTGGGGACACCACTGGCACTATACTTTTAGAACACTCATTTAGCCAATTAGTCATTTATTCAGCTTCCAACTTGACATAAAAAACAAACATTTCATGCAGACCAGACAAATTTTAATTTTCGTAAGTGTAACTCAATTACAGAGTCTCGCCCAATGCACAGAGGGCATGCAAACAGAGTATCAGATAAAAATGATTCCAGAACCCCAGGAACTGCACATCAGGCACACACATTGGCGACGGCATTAAAAATAATGAAGGGATTGTAGCAGCATCTAGGCTACAAAAAGCCAACTAGCTTACAGTTATTRCCATTTTAGACAAAGATAAAACAAAATAAAAACAAAGTCATTTTTTTTTCTCAATTCTACCGCTGATCTGCAGTGAACATACAGATTAGAAATTATTTCTTCAGCGAGATTAGTTTTAACCAAAACACGGTGGCACATGGAACAAAATAGGTAGCAGGAAAATTTGAGCCTCACTATCACATGCTTTGGTATGTTACCCTGCAGATGTGAACGAGCACATTACCAGGCTTCCAAACCGAACTCCTCCCATTTGATTACAATCTTTAAGAACATTCTTTAAAAATCCCGCCATACAAATGAATGAAAATAAGGAGATGCTGTTGTGAGCACATTAGCACCACACTAACTGTAATACAGCTCAACAAAACAACCTAAGAATCTTCTGCACTTCAACACTCCACCTTCCACCCAAACTCTTAAACAAAATAATTCTACAAGAACATTCTTCTACAGATACTCTAATTGCAGTGTTAGCTAACAATAAGGCATTTGGGAGGATTCCATTCCTGCTTATAACAAAGTAAATAAAAATACGTAGGAGGAACTCCCTTGACATCAAAAACCTGCTTGCTTCACAATTACGTCAGCTTTACAAATTTATCCCGTGACTCTTAAAATCCTTTAGTCACTTGAGGCAGGAACATCACAGGAGTTGCCCATTTGCACTGCCTCTAATGCATGATAAGCATGCATTTTTTAAAACATATGATAAATAAGGGTTCTATAAACATTTGGTGCAAGCACTAAGAGACTAATAATCTGGCTATAACTCCTTTTTTTTTTTTTAATATGTCAAAGCAGATAAAGGCAAAGTAGAACTATGCAATTTCATGGTCAGTTTATTTTAACTCCCTGAAATGTTTTCATTTAATATAAATTGTTACACTCCATTCCATTAAACAGGCTGCCCTAGCAAAAAAATTAACAACTCAGAGGAACCCATATGAGAGGAGAAATTGGGAGAGACTGAATTAAGAGAAGACTACTTGTCACTAGAGCTCTTTACAAATACAGGATGTCAGGATGTTTTACTGGTAACTCACCTGAGAAAATTCACTGCAAGCTATGTCAACATACTAAGAAGTTATTAGAGACGCTTACAAGAGACTTACAGTAATATACTAAGCAAAATAATTTTTCTTACAGGGGATAAAGATGTCTCATCTCATAACATGATACATGCACTATACTATTAGTAGCCTCCAGCAACAATAAGAGAACATGAACTACAGYAACAAAACTACTCTAGTAGTTTTCATTCTACAAAGAATAGAAAGACAGGAGAGGAAAGGGGAGAGAAAAAAATTCCACACACCACACATTCATTTGGAGACTTTCATACTATTACCAAAACCTCTAGGTTGAGGACAAAATCTACTTGACTAACATTAGAGAAACTGAGATAGAAGTATTATGGGATCAGATCCCCCAAGGCAAGTTCAGACCTAAATCCAATAAGTTGGCCACCAAAAAGATGTTGCTGGGGCTGTGCTGGCACAGGCTCACAGCTGGGCGCGATACCGACTCGAACATCTACATGAGGAGCTGTGTGTGGCTGATAAGGCTTCAAAGCCCAGAYCCCTCCACAGCAGTGTTCCCCTTCACCTCCCACACACTCCTTTCTACCTCCTCCTCCTCTCTCAGGATTGCTCTTACTCCCATAAAGGGGAGATGTTCTACTAAATCAATGCACTTTTAAACAATCCATTAGTGACAAGTCATTCTAGGAATGTCTTGAAGCTTGTTTTGCAATATTGGCATAAGAGACAGTCCCTATTTATAGGAATTTTTACAGTTTCCTATACAAACAACAAAGACTGCATCTCATAGTTGATTCCTAGATATAGTCACCCCATTCCTACACAAAATGCACGAYGGGGGAAGCAAGCAGGCCCAGAGTTTCAGGCTTGAGGCAGTATTTTGTTCCCAAGCACATTGTTTTGGCTGTTCTCAGTGCAGAAAACATGTAAACGAGAGATTTCACCAGCCATAATAACAGCTATGCTTTGCTAGCACTTGGAAAAGTGGCTACCCTATTTCCATGCTTTTGATTTTGTCCACTCGAAGGCTGTATCAACATTTGTTCTCGTAAAAAAAAAAAAAAAACCACACTATCAGTTATGCAAATTAGGCCTTTTCCAGGGGGGGAAGAAAAAAAATCGGTAATGTCAGGGTATCCTTAACAACGACAACAAAAACAAAAAACACATAACAACTTAAGTCCCAGCTCATGCACTGCTCTAACACTTGATTAGAAAGACAAGAAGGAATGGAAAGCAAACGATAAACAGCAGATAAAACTAACAGGAGACGTTTTATACCAATGGGGCAAATCACCTTCCTGTATAGATGCACTTACAATTTGCCTACACAAAGAGAAAGGGTTTCTAACCTAAGTTGCATATGTTCATTTAACTAATTACTTGACACATCAACGACTACCACAGATCCAACACCTTTACAATTCTTAACAGCTGAACAAGTCAACAAAACATTAGAAAAAATACAAACCCACAAACATCAAAAACAAACCCAGAAAAAAGAACTAATTAAATTAAAAACATCAAGGTTTTTACCATAAAACTATGCTCGAGCCACCTTAAAAGCAACACTAGAAAGAAATAGATGCAGATACTTTAATGAAGACGTTTCGTGGAATTGTGCACAGCTTGGATAACAAAAAAAGCTCTCGGTAGGAGCTATAGCATAGATATATGTGCTCATTAAAAAAAAAAAAAAAAAAGCCATTATGAAATTCTTTCAGGGTCTCCAAAGGGCAGCACGTTTTGTTTAAGGCAAGTAAACCGTGCCTTATCTTCCCGGGGTAGCACAAGCTGAGTAACAACAATCTCTGGCCCACTGGAAGAAAGGAACGTAAACACATGGTTACCAAGTTAACCCGAAACCCCCCTTTTCCTCAGCCAGGGCGAGAGCACGTTGGGCAGTTCAAGGATCACGAGGCCAAAACGCTTCTAAGTCTCCCCAAACTCTCCCAAAGCCTCTATCGCTCTGGGCGTCGCTTCAGCCAACGCCGAAACTGAGGGGAGAAGGCCACGAAACTGCTTTAAAAAATAAAATTAGAAATGAATGATAATAAAAAGGAACACGTAAAAACATTGATTCCACCCCCCCAGCAGCCCAGCAGAACGGGCACGCGGGGAGCGGCACGAGGCGGCCGCCCCCGCCGAGCCTCGCGCAGCGTCCCGGGGGCGGCGGCGGCCGGTACGCGCCGGCCGGGGGGGAAGGGACGGGAGGCCGCCGTCCGGAGCCCCGGAGCAGCCGCCGGCAGGTGAGTCAGCAGCTCCCCGCGCCCCGCAGCGCCGGGCCGGGCCCCGSGGCCGGACTCTCCGCGGCGGCCGGACCCACCTTGCTCTTCACCTCCATGGTGCCGAGGCCGCGGCTGCCCGCGGCGCCGCGCTGAGGCCGGCTCATACCGCCGCCGCGCCGGGGCTCCCGGCTCCGCCG